CAGAAAGTCATGATTATGACTTGGATAGTTGATGCTAGGGGCGGCTGTGGCTCAGGATGTAGATCGGTCATCTCCCAATCAGAATGTTGGTGGTTCGATTCCCGGTCTCCCCATTCCATATGTGGAAGCTTGGGCAAATATAATAAATGTCATTTTAAAATTTGAAACGGGCCAAGCTGCTCTGAATTTAGTACAAACATTTGACAGTTTGGAACAGTGCTTTATAAATTCATTGCAAGTATGAAGTATTTTCCATTTCCCTTCCCGGCATGTGGTACACCAGAGATTTTCAAACTGAGGTGCACCATTTCAGGCAGGTGCAGGAGAGCTGAAGTTGTAAAAGCAATAGGAAGTTAGTTATTCTAGTTAGGCCCACTGGTTTGGCCAGTTTACCTCAACTACAACAGCTTAAGGTACTTTATATTTTCCCAAATATTAATGTGTTTGGTGTATTTGCCTCACAGCTCCAGAAGTAGTCAACTACGAGCCGTTGGGCCTGGAGGCAGACATGTGGTGAGTAAATAAAAGCTCATTCTGCTCTACGATGAGCATTATGTGCATATCCTCTTTGAAACCATCAGTTTCTCTGAAGACATCTGATGTGAAGTATATATGTTTTACACGATGCTGTGCTGCCCAGACTGTTCTGCAACCAGATGCGTTGTTGACTCCTCTTTCTTTGTTTTCCTTCTTGCCCCTCTGTTCAGGAGTGTTGGTGTGATAACCTACATTCTGTAAGTACCTAAAAAGCCACTAATGATGGATCATTGTGTGAAATGCTAAAACATGTAAGAAGCGTGTGTCGCTGCAGGGAATTGCCAAAGTCAAGTCCACATTTTCTGAAGAACCCCAGGGTGTGATCACTCACTGAACACGACAGCCGGTGAGAATGTTGGTGGAGACATAAAGCGGCTAATGGCTGCTCTCTGACCTCTTTGTCATTGAACTTGCCGGGCCACTCAGCATCACAGCACTGTTTGTTGTGAATAATGGAATAGCCTGCAGCGAGGAACGTGGAGCATATTAACATGCCTTTTGAATGTGATATTCCGTCAGCAGCTGTGGGAATGTTGTGCAGTTAGTTGTTTCACTGGTCAGACTGATATTGGGTTTTTATTTTATTATCCAGTATGAGTATGTCATTGTTGATTACATTATGAGAAACCTGCATGTTTTCTTTATTTATTTATTTTTTTAAATTAACCTCGTATTTAATCCTTTAAAGCCCATCTGCCATTATTGCCTTAAACAGCCTTAAACATTTGGACAGCGGTGGAAACTAACTTAGTACATTTACTTGCATATTGTACTTGTAGGGTTTTGAGATGTCTGTATTATGCTGTTTGAGAAACATATTGTGCTTTTTACTCCACTGCCCATACATTTATTTTGAAGCTTTATTTCCTTTGCAGAATCGTGGTTATGCTAGAATGAAGGCATAATGAATACTTTTGGTGCTTAAAATAGCTCACATTCCTGATAATAAGGATTTTAGTGCATATTTTTCAATGTGATTTTTAACATCTTTATTACAGTAAGTTCAAATGAGCCCCAGTAATTCAGTTTTCAGGCTGCTTGAGGTTGTTGAAACTGACCGACACCGGACTTTGTCCAAGGCCTGTTCTCTGTGATGTTGTCGGCAGTGGATGTAGCCTCAGAAAAGGTCCCATTTCAGTCTAACACATCACAGTCTATAGACTCGGCTGTAGCAAGCCCAGGCCTCTGCACATGTCAGCACAGTTTAACTCAACTTTGAGAGGAAAGTTCACGCCCTTGGTGACCCACAGGTCAGATGATGCTGTCTTGTGGCCACTAGTCCTTCCCAGCTCCCCACACACCTTTATCTTTCAGAGAGACACGTACACGAAGCCAAACACACACTGCGTCCTCAAACTGCACACTAGGTGCATGTGCCCACACAAACATACAAATACAAGGTACAGAAGTAAAGGCAGACAGAATTGTTGTCAGATTATTACATAATAAATTGCTACAAACACTACACTTTTCATTTTAGAGGAGTTGTGTGTAGGTGCTGCTAAAATGATTGAAATGCCTCATTTTGTGTCTGCTATCCGTGCACACATGCATCCAGCAGACACACACCTGGTCTTGTTCATGCTGTCCACCCACACAGCCATCACAACTCTGCCTGGGAAGGCAAAAAATAGTCTGTTCCTTGCCTGTTATCACAGCAGAGCAACAGTGAGGTGCACTGACTGTTCGTCTCCTCTTGTTAAAAGCAGCGTGAGGGGAAGATGGTTAGGACTAATTCAGTAAGTGGTTCTGGGTGATTCTTGGAGAAGCTCCTGACTCTTAATCTGGGTATTCAGCTGTTGCCACAAAGTAATGAAGGCTTGCACTTTTAAATAAGTTGAAAGACTTTCCTGGCCTGAGATAATGTAACCTGAAATCATTTGGGTAAAGACAGATGCAACTTTCTGCTCTGCTGGAGCCCTGATTTGGATTTCAGGCTGTTAAGACAGCTCTATTTCAGCATAAAATCTGTGTCTGCTGCACTGTTAAGGCTCATTTGGGAACCATTTTGGGAAAAAATGGTGGGTAAACTGCTGCCACCGAACCCTGGCTTAACACCTCCCTGCTGCTTTTACTGCCTGGCCTGGTGAAGAATTGCCTTAATTACTATACGTGTTTGTTGTGATCAGCTGCACCTTATACAGTTGATAAAGTCATATGTTTGTACTAAGCCTGGGCTTGATGAGCTGGAGAAGGGAAGGCCGGGCCCTCGTTAACATGCACGGCCACCAGGCCTGTGTCTGTATTGTAACGTGCTGTACTGTGTCTTGGCTTTGTACATTAAAAAGGCTTTTGTCTTGCATGTTAAGAGTATAGGTTATGGTTTATCCCTGCACCCTGGTCCACTTCCTCTCACACTGACTGGGACGGAGAGTGGTCCAGTTGGTTTTCCAGGGTTTGACTAACACACATTTTCATTCTTGCAAAGCCTGACTGAGTCACTATCTCGGTTCTGTGATCACATCAGTGAATAGTCAGGTCTTAGTTTTGGTTTTGTGGGCCAGAGCTAATCATCAGCGGGTGAGTTAGTGATTGAATTTTAAGCTGTCTAAAACCCAGATATTCAGTTAACAGTGGTAAGAAAAATAAAAGCACTGATTGTAGAGGCTGAAAATTTTTGATCATTATACTTAAAAAGTTAGCTAATTGCCAATAAATTGTTTAGTGACTGATTTATTTAGCTAATATACAGCCCTGACTTTATTGTTGGTCTCTGTCATCTTGCAGTTTGAGCGGTGCGTCTCCTTTCCTGGGCGACAACAAGCAGGAGACACTGGCCAACGTGTCAGCTGTCGACTACACTTTCGATGAAGAGTTCTTTAGCAATACCAGCGTCCTGGCCAAAGACTTCATAGCAAGGCTTCTTGTCAAAGACCCAAAGTATGTATCTTTCTGATTAGATATGTGAAACAAATTAAAGCTAGTTTTAATGTTTAATGAAACAGTCAATATGTCCAACAGGAAAATACTTGAGATTCTAATTTTTTTACAGTTTTGATTTTGTTTGAAAAATTTGTTTCCAAAATGTCCACTTTTTAAATTCACTGTCTGAAGTCGATCTTTCTCAGTACATCTGGAACTGGAGTGTGGTGACTGGAAGCCTGGAAAATGTTCTATATATTTTTTTATAATAAAGATCCGATTCTAAATTGATTACTGCCTTTTAAAAAATGTTAAAAAGCTGAACAGAAAATCTGAATACAGGCTCTCTGCAGGTTTTCTCTAGGCAATATGGTACCTAACATTGTGAGCACGTCCTCCTCATTCTTGAGTTGCTTTAGCAACAACTTGAATGGGTGCAGCTCCACTTGGAGACACTAACTGCCATCAAAACTCTTTTTCCCTCTTGTAATTACTCCTGTTTCTCCAGAACAATGGAACCAGAGCGAGTGTGATAACAGAGATGAATTGGAGATAATTTCATTTAGACAGGCTACAGGAAGAAAGGAGGAGGCGAAGGCTGGCACGGGCTGCTTCAAACACAGTGGGCGAAGGGGTAGACTGACTTTAGAAACTTCAACTAATGGGACGCTTAGAAATCCCCGACCGAGTGCATCACAATGGAACGGCTTTTAATTGATCTGCATTGTGAGCAGGCATGGATCCGCTCCGCTGGCGGGAAGATTAATGGAGATTACTTCAACCAATGCACACTTTGCTGTTTAATAATGTACATCATGGACTAAAGCAGAGTCATTGTTCACTGATAAACCAGTGCACTGAAGTTCACTGTTGCCTAGGTCAGTAAAACTTTGCTTTGACTCAGGTGTATGAATGGCCTCAGTTAGAAACAGGGATGTGGTCATAAACAAACATCAACAAGAGGAGTTGTGTGTGTGTACTGGACCACTCCTGTTTCCCTAATGGTTATGTTGGCTTATATTTAACATACTGTAACCTTTTCTAAACAATGCCTTGTTGTTTTCATTGTTAGTTCACTACAGTTGTCAAAAGGGAAGTGGCACTGAGGGGCTGAGTGAAGTGGTGGCTGCACTTTCAGCCGCACCAGTTTCTTACAAATTTGTCTGGCTTTTATTTCTTTGTATTAAATATGAATCATTGGGGATCCAAGAGTTACTCTGTTAGTTATAGTTTGATATGATCAGTGTGTAGATAGAGCTGACTTTGTTGTGAAACATCTCCAAAACAATCATCTGATCTGCCAAAATAAATATCTTCTAGTACTTAGTAGAGCAACCTTTTGCTGTCATGACTCACTGCAAACATGATCCATAGTCAGACACCAGCTTCTGGCAGCATTCCTCAGGAATCTTAGCCCATTCTTCATGGGCAGTGGCCTCCAGGTCACTAATATTCTTGGGTTTGTGTGCTGCAACCACCTTCTTCCCAACAGAGATTTTCTATGGGGTTCAAGTCAGGTGACTGACAGCCATGACCTCTTCTGCAACCAAGCCTTGGTGGACTTTAAGGTATGCTTGAGATAACTGTCCTGTTGGAAGGTCAGAGGATGCCCCAGCTTCAGCTTCCGCACAGATAGCGTGATATTTCCTGATACTTGAATGCCTTCCACACACACCAGTGCCACAGGAAGCCCCAGAGCATCACCGAGCCACCGCCATGCTTCATTATGGGCAGGTTGTTCTTCCCAGTGTGTGCTTCATTCTTCTTCTCCAGACATGTGGCTGATCCATAGGTCTGAAAAGTTCCGGTTTTGTTTCGTCTGTCCACAGAACGGAATCCCAAAACATCGGTGGCTTATTTATATGATTTTGAGTATATTGGAGCCAACTTTTCTTGTACTTTTGGGTCAGTAGTGGTGTACGTCTTGGAGTTCTGGCATGGAAACCTTCAGTGTTTAGTATGCTCCTTACTGTGCAAACTGAAGCCTCGCTGCCTGTTGCCATCAAGTCTTGCTGCATGTATTTTGCAGTCACTCGAGGCTTTTTCCACAACCTGCTTCCTCAGAAATCTGGTTACAGCCATTGATAGCTTCCTTTTTCTGCCATGTCCAGGTAGCGTAGCCACTGTTCCTTTAACTTTGAACTTGTGAACTGTGCTTCCAGTGGCATCTTTAGGAACAGGTGTGCTCTGGTGTGTGAGACAACACCTAATTTGGAATTATGTGCTCTTATGAGGGATTCCATTCAGGGGCTGAATACATTTGTTGTGTTGAGCTATTTCAGTTTTTCTTCTTTGATTAGTTCATTGCAAACAGCTGAAAGTTTGTAAATTTTGCCAGTACACCTAATTTGCTAGTGATCCCACTAGCTGGGTTTGCTATCAGTGTCAAGTAATCCCTCGTCATCTGACCGGAAGGATGGTGCATTTATTCATTACATCTCATCTCTGGTTTTGCACATAGTTACTGTACTTTAGATGTAATAATTTTATTTCAAAACACCTTTTAAGTATTATGCCACACACCACCGATAGATGAGGGGATGTTTTTATTTTTAAAATTAAAAATAATTTGAATCAATATATAGTTGGTAACCTGTCAGCTCTGGAACTGCTGGATATCTAAAGACACTCAACAAATTTCTCTTTGTTTAATGACCCTATATTTTCTCTCCACAGAAAGAGAATGACAATTCAGGACAGCCTCCATCACCCCTGGATCAAGGTTGGACTCCTGATAACTGACTGATTCCATCTCTGTTTAATTTAAAACATTTGTAATTCTGTAAAAACTTGCATGTCGTCTTCTTCTTCTGTCTTTGTGGCAGTAGTTGATATTTGAAATGTCTTGGGTTTATAAGCTGAATGCTGCCAAGCCTTAACTGAGTGACTCTGTAAAAAATTTATCTTGGCAGGGACATTCTCATAAGCTTTTCTTGTCAATTCATTTGTTGTGTTTGTGAAACCAGCCAAAAGACACTCAACAAGCACTGAGCAGAAAGGAGTCGGCCGTCAACATGGAGAAGTTTAAGAAGTTTGCAGCTCGAAGGAAATGGAAAGTAAGCGCTCTCCTCTGACACTGTCTCCAGCTTTTACACACTCAAGCTTAAGGAAGGACAAATTACTGCAACTTGCATAGCGAGGCATCAGATCCACAAAACGCAGAACCTCGTCATGCATACTGTCTACAACTGCTGCAGGCATAAATATAGTTTAACCTGTCAGGTTTATAAAATTATTTAATCAAACATCGGTTAAAATCCAGTTGTAATCAAGGCCAGATTCTGTTGATTCAAAGTCCAAAAGACAAAACAAAAATAGTTTAAATTCAAGACTAGTGTAATAAATCTGTGACCCACTTTTCCTTTTCAGGTGTACAAATATAGTTTAACTTGTTTGCTGGTTTACATTTGTTTACAAAATGACGAGCCCTGATGTCCTGTAAGGTTGACTTTATTCCAGAAGCCTTAGGTCTTGTGAAGAATCATGGTGCCAGAGTTGGTCAGGTCACCCTGTGTTTAGACTGATAAATGCACTTTTTGGCATAATGTGCCTTGATGGTGTTGGCCAGCTATGGATGGACCACTGCTATAAACACTTCAGACATTATCATATGCATTGTGTTAATGTGTATGCCTGTGCATTTGTTTGTAAAATCACTTCAAATTGCTCCTTGACGGAAGAATAAAATATTTAGAATTTAAAGTGTAAATCGGTTTCTTAGGGATCCACAGAGTTGTAGATTTGTGTGCAGCAGCTCTGTGCAGGACACCTCAACATCCAGTTTACCAATGCAAACCAAGAAAAAGTCCAGAGTCAAGTTACCTAACAGTATGGCAGGATGTCAAAGGGTCAAATGCAATAAATAGAGCAACTGAAGTGAACTTAAATATGGCAGTAAACTGCTATAAGTCTACACCTGCTGATGATCCTCTTAACATGACTTCATAGTAACTCGCTATAATTTTTGATACTTGTTCATGAACCACCATTCTTCTGTCTTCCAGCAATCCGTCCGACTCATCTCCTTATGCAACCGCCTGTCCCGCTCCTTTCTGTCCAGAAGCAACATAAGTGTGGCACGCAGTGATGATACGCTGGTAAGAACTCGAAAACCGCTTCCTGTGATTTGACTAGACTGGTGGGAAAGATGTCTCAGGAAGTTCCACAACACAGGAGAAGCAGAAGTGATCTCGATGACATAGCATGGCGAAACTGGGTTTGCAACTTTTAACGCCATCAAGGCTTTAAATTGCACTTGAGTAAACCATGAGGAGTATCACTGGTATTTTCACAGGCCTATTTTATATTGAGTGGCAACTTCATGAGTTTGTTTGGTTTTACTGAAGTGCATTTTTTGAATTCGAATCACAAGCTCTCAGTTACAGCTCTGGGATTTTCAGTTTGACAGCCTCTGAGAATCTCCTGCATGTAACTGATCTGGTCCCGGTTTCCGTCAAGTGAAGCAAGTGTTTTTAGTATTATAGCAGTTTCAGCATATCTAACTTTAAAAGCAGGTCGAGCTGGTAGGAATGAGCCTCGAGAGAAGGCAACTCTAGTGTTTCTTGTGAACGAGTCACCATATTTAAGTTTGTACTTGAATAGTAATACATAGAAAGCTTTTATGTATTTCTGTGTCTGTGCGTTGATACTGACAAGCCTGAGAGATGTAAACACTGCAGCAGCTGTGAGAGGCTTAATCATTTACAAAGCATTATTAACAGGCCAAGACCAGCTCTGTTTCCTCATCAGAGGGTTATATGGCAACTTGTGTCACAGGTGACCTGGCACGTAGAAGCAGACATGTTAAGGGTGGTGCACCCCCTATAGTTCACAAACCGCACTGCAACTGCAGCTGACGTTGACAAGTTCAAGGTTTCCAGTGGATCATGGATTTATTGGCTGAGCAGGTTTAAAGAGCTCATGCAGAGGTGGGTCCCAGTTCAGCTGCCCATCTGTACATTTTCAACATAGAAGCTGTGCCTTAGAGGCTCTGTGTTGAGGTGAAAGAGCACACATTGGGAAAGGAGTAGGATCAGGCTGAGACTGTAGAAATATCAGGGCTGCAAATATTATTTTTGTTATAGATTAATCAGGATTTTTTTTTTTTAGTTCTTAGTTTAAATTTTGCCAGAAGTAGTCTCAAAGTCATTGAATTCATTCAAAATTGACCCAGAATCGAAAAGTTAAATTATTTCAACTGATGAATGTTTTATCAGGTTCCTACCAAGCGTAGTCTTTGGCTTCTGCTGGCTGTCAGCAGCACATGCATCTGAAAGCTTGGGATTGCACTGGTTATTATTGCAGCAGATATGTTTTGTAGGTGTAGTTCCTTGTGTTTTGTTCAACTAAACCATCCCACTGTGTCACCTGCTATTCAGAAAATAAGCGTGGTGTTGACTTCGAACCCATGAAACCTCATCCTGCTTTGCCATCCCACAGTGAAAACTGTCCAGTGTCTCCCAGGATTTATTGTTTTAGTTCAGGTGATTTTCTAATCAGAAGTCCAGAAGTCAGACTTTCAGTTCACATTCATGTGAAGCAGGAAAAGGCTTCAAATTCTCACACAGAGAAGCTGGAACCAGTGAATGTTTGGCTTCACAGTCATATCTGCTGCTACTTTTTCTGTCAGTCAACAAAACAGTAAGTAAATGATGAGAGAAATGGACTGTGGGCTACAGTGGCCCAACAAAAGGACATTTTTTGGAGAGTTGCCAAGGTAGCAAGCATGTGTTATCAAATGTAGCCACTTCTATGAAATACCTCTAAAATAGCCTTTTAAGAGACAGAGGAGCGTTACTCATTCCCTCTGCAAGTTTTCCAGCTCTGTGTGAGCGTTGTAACTGCTGACCTGTTAGTCATTAGACCATTTCATTTTCACATAACATCCTTTCTTTGTGTTTTTAGCTTTTGTGATGTGAAGTACAATAAGTTACACAAGGGGTCCTTTAGTGACTCAGCGACACTATGTTTTACTTTGTAGCGGTTTCCTTCTTTGGGTGGAGAAAGTAAGGTTAGATGCTTTAGGTGATCTCTCTCCATCCTCTGTGTTGTGTTTGCAGCTCTCTGCAGTGGTTTAGTCATGGCTTACCCAGCAGGGAGGTTGTGTTGAGGAATGTAGCTAGAGTATCACGCTTGGCCAAACAAGCACTACATCAGCGTCGCCCTCCCCTCCCCTCCCCGCTGTTCTCCTCTTCATCTCTTTGCGCAGCCGATTTCTGTGCCGTCCAGCTGACTCTGCCTGAAGGTTATTGGGTCACATGTTAAAGACAGAACAAATCCCTAATTTGTTTTGAAACTAAAGTGCAGACACAAAAGAAAATTCCGCTGGTTTTCTGGTTGTTCCTGTGTGTATTCATGCTTGAGATGAAAGAGAGACGTGTGTAGGCATGTGATAGAAAGAATTCGCAGGGTTAATGTTCACAGGATTAGATCATCCTGTGAACAGTAGGAGGATAAATGTCTTTCCTTCTTGTCTAGGATGAGGAAGACTCATTTGTGATGAAGGCCATCATCCATGCCATAAACGATGACAACGTGCCCGGTCTGCAGCATCTGCTCGGCTCCTTGAACAGTTACGACGTCAACCAGCCCAACAAGGTGACAAACCTGAAGAGACACCATAAAAACCAATTATCATTATATTGTTTTAATGCTTTTTCTCTGTTTTATTTTAAAAATTTTCTTTTTTTTTTCAAATAAATCTAAACCTCAGGCTCTCATATAATTACTTTTACAGAACTTACACCCTCATTATTTGACACAGTGATATCCCAGTACCATGTTTATAAAATTACACATTGCAGTCCACTTTCCCACATGCAGACTAGTGCATTGTCTTCACTAAGACAGCTGAATGGTCATGGATCTTGTAACCATTTGTCAGGGTATTCTACCCTGCAGCGAGCATAACCGTTTCTGTTAGGGACTGAGTGAAAGCCCCTGATCACAAGGTCACAAAATGAATGTTGCAGGTCTTGTGATTCTGCAAGACTGTGCTCCAGTTTTTATGAGACAGACTAGGAAAACGGCAGAATATGCTACTGGTGTCTGTGGATGGACGTTGAGAGAACACCGGAGACGTGAATGAGTGCGTGTGCTGGTTGAAAGCTACAACCAGTGAAAGAAAAGTCCTCTCACACTCCTACTGAAACAAAGCAAAGAAAAGAAAATCCAGACGGTCATTTTAAATATGTGCCAAGGATGTCAGGAAAGTCACGTTTTACATTTTTTTCACATTCAGACACATTCAGACACATTCAGAAGTCATCTCTAAATCTTATAGAGAAGAGTACTAGTACATTTTCTCTGGGTGTTTCCAGGTATTCAGCCACCGGTGAGAACAGCCAAAGAGACAGATTTACAGTCACTGAAGAGTTTCAGGCTTTGTGCACATTAAAGGGCAATAACATAGCAAATCAGAACAAACAAAACAGAAGCAGTTTGTCAACTATCTGCGTCTCCTTTTCCAAATTAATGAAAATCTGTAACAGGTGGAAATGTGAAGGTGGAGATGGATGTTTGAGGGTGAAGGCGAGCCAGTCTAACACAAAACTCCTGCTCTAATTCTTCTCTTCGTGAGGGTTATAATCTGTTTTTGTTGACTATCTTGGAGGTGTTGATTCAGCTGAGTGATCATTTTAGAGGATGTAGTGTGTGGGGCTGTTGGATAATAATAATATAATATAATATAGTGTATTATACTGACAGTTGATTTTATTATTTTGTCCACCTCATTTATATCAGTGAATAAATAATGAAAACCACCTCTGTATCTAATGAAGAACAGTTAAACAGCACCACAAAGTTTCTTTTTATTGAGTTTAGTTTTATATGATGGTATAAAAATGTATGTGTGTGTATACCAGACACAAGAACAGCTTGTTCTCCTGTCCCATCACTCTGATGAACAGTTAATCCATGACTGGATGACTGGACACAGCAGTCACCCCAGTGCAATAAACTGTAAATATAACCATCGTACAGGTATGTGCCAAAAAATTAGAATATTGAGGAAAAGTCCATTTATTTCAATAATTTGTTTCAAAAAGTGAAACTTGTAAGATATTAGTTCACTGCACACAAAGTGAAATATTTCAAGCCTTTATTTGTTTCAATTTTGATGATTATGGATTAAAGACAAAAAAAACCCAAATCCAGTATTTCACAAAATTAGAATATCATGACAGAATTCAACATTGTAGGCTCCTTGTGTCCCAATCTAGTCAGCTAATTAATGCAAAACACCTGCAAAGGTTTCCTCAGCCTTGAAATTGTCTCAGTCTGGCTTAGTAGGCTTCAGAATCATGGGGAAGACTGCTGACTTGACGGTTGTGCAGACGACCATCATTGACACCCTCCATAAGGAGGAAAAGTCTCAAAAGGCAATTGCAAAAGAAGCTGGATGCTCACAGAGCGCAGTATCAAAGTATATTAACAGAGTGTTAAGAAGAAGGGAAGAATGTGGCCGGAAAAGGTGCAAAAGTGACAGGGATGACCGCAGCCTTGAGAGGATTGTCAAGCAAGGGCGATTCAGAAATCTGGGGGAGCTTCATAAGGAGTGGACTGAGGCTGGTGTCAGTGCATCAAGAACCACCACATACAGACGTCTGCATGACATGGGCTACAGCTGTAGAATTCTATGCGTCAAGCTACTCCTGAACCAAAAACAACGTCAGAAGCGTCTGTGCTTGGCTAAGGAGAAACAGTACTGGTCTATTGCCCAGTGGTCCCAAGTCCTGTTTTCAGATGAAAGAATATTCTGCATTTCATTTGGAAATCAAGGTCCCAGAGTCTGGAGGAAGACCGGAGAGGCACAAAAGTCAAGCTGCTTAAAGTCCAGTGTGAAGTTTCCACAGTCAGTGATGGTTTGGGGAGCCATGTCATCTGCTGGTGTGGATCCATTGTCTTTTATCAAGTCCACAGTCAACGCAGCTGTCTACCAGGAAATTTTAGAGCACTTCATGCTTCCCGCTGCCGAGCTGAAGATTTTATTTTCCAGCAGGATTTGGCACCTGCCCACACAGCCAAAATAAAGCAACTTGGCCTACCATAACACCTCGACTGTGTCAAATGCTGATCGCCTCCATGCCACGCCTCCTTGATGTAGCAATTAATGCAAAAGGAGGCCCAACAAAGTACTGAGGACATAATACAGTACATTAACACACTTTTCAGAAGGCCAACATGTGTTTAAGATCCTTTTTTTATTGGTCACATGAAATATTCTAATTTTGTGAAATACTGGATTTGGGTTTTTTTGTCTTTAATCCATAATCATCAAAATTGAAACAAATAAAGGCTTGAAATATTTCACTTTGTGTGTAGTGAACTAATATAACATACAAGTTTCACTTTTTGAAACAAATTATTGAAATAAATGGACTTTCCCTCGATATTCTAATTTTTTGGCACATACCTGTATATATCAGTCTGAAAGCTCCTCTGCCACATTGTATACATATTTATAAATACTCCCTCTCTTTTTCTCATTCTTTTCTTATTTGTGTTTGCACATATTCCTATCTGAATGCACTTTTTTCTCATTGTTTTTATTTTTATTTTTTGTTTTCATTGTCATTTTCTATTTTATTGTGGGCTGCAAACACATCGAGACACATTGTACCGGAGTCAGATTTCTTCCTGTTCAAACATACTTGACCCTTAAAGACGATTCTGATTAACAAAAAGGGAAAACTGTAAAAGATATATACAGAATTGTAGGCAGGTTTTTAAAAAAAGACTGGAGTTAGATATATTTTACTGCAGAGAAGAGCCAGGCTGCTTCACCAAACAATCTGATGGTCAGGTACAGACTCCCTCATCTTTGTTCTGCTTGGTGTTTCGACAGCTGCTTGTTAACAACTGATGGCCGATGTGATGTTTTTAAACTCGGTGAGGTGTGTAAAAGAAAAGAGAAACTGGAAGAAAAGAGGTGAATTCCTTTTTTCTGTCTTTGTTCTAGGTTTAAGCTCAGGAACAGGTTCGGAAAAGGTTATTTTTATTTTCTTCCATCCATCAACACGCAGGCACTCTAAGTGGAGCACAGTGTCGATTCTGTCCGAAACCTAAGACATGACCTTCCAAATTCATTTACTGAGTGTTTGGATTTTTAAGGCAGAAAATCAGCATACTTCCCCATGTGTTTGCTGTCAGACTGTGGTCTACAGCTCCAGCTTTACCATACATCAAGGTCACTGAAAACTAAATTAACAGTGTGTGTGTGTGTGTGTGTGTGTGTTGCAGCACGGGACTCCTCCCCTCCTGATTGCAGCCGGCTGTGGCAACATTCAGATCATCGAGGTGCTGATGAGGAAAGGTGCAGACATCCAGGCCCATGATAAGGTGAAGACTCAACAGTTTGGTCTAATCAGTGTGGTTATGCCAGCCAGCTGTTGAGTTTGACAGATGAGCATTGAAGGCATCAGAGCTGCAGTAATGAAGGCTGATGACTGTCACAGGACATGGGTTATCTGTGCTGTAAATAAACGTACCCCATGACCTTCTTGACTGTGCTGCACAAAGCATTCTTGTGAAAAGGCCTTTTTCTATAGATATGCATCCATCTGTAAATGCTGGGAAACTACAAAGTTTTTTGCTAAATAATGTAAATACATAATGATCCAGTTCAAGGCGTGGATGTCGCCATGGTTTGTTTCTCATCTGCTTCCTGTCGAGGGCACGGACTGTAATTTGTATCAGTTCGTATGTCTGGCAGTCCAGGGATAGAGACAGGTCGTTTTAATTACACATGTGCCTGTTTAGAATGTACTTTGTATCAGTATATCAATTTGTGGGGCTTTGTGTCATGACAGTGTCTTTGTGCCTGTAATGTGAGCGTATGTTCACGTGTTCATTTCTGAATGTATGTGTAGGTAAATTTGTGAATGTATGGGGAAATGGGTGCATACGTTTATATACAGTGGGTACGGAAAGTATTCAGACCCCCTTAAATATTTCACTCTTTGTTATATTGCAGCCATATGCTAAAATCATTTAAGTTCATTTTTTTCCTCATTAATGTATACACAGCACCCCATATTGACAGAAAAACACAGATTTTTTGACATTTTTGCAGATTTATTAAAGAAAAACTGAAATATCACATGGTCATAAGTATTCAGACCCTTTGCTCAGTATTTAGTAGAAGCACCCTTTTGAGCTAATACAGCCATGAGTGTTTTTGGGAATGATGGAACAAGTTTTTCACACCTGCATTTGGGGATACTCTGC